TATATGTTAAGAACTATGGTTTATTTGTTTATAACAATTTAATAAAAATTATTGTTTATCATTTTTTAATAAAACTTAATTAGTATCCATAATTTTCAAATATACTATTTAGAATATAACTAAAAAATGGATAATATCAATTAACGCTTTTATGATATTGTTTATTATTTTATAATTTCAAATTATAAACTTCAATTTTTATTCTAATTAATCCTACATTTTCAATTTTATTATTTGAATAATGTTTGTCGGCGTATGCTCTACTTTCAAAATAGCTCGGTTTTACTTGTTTTTATTTTTACTTTTTTTTTTGTGGACAACACATTTAACTCGTTCTTATACCATACAATTGATTTTTTTTTTTTTTTATACTAAAATATTTAAATTTTATTTTAACATAAATAACATCCTTTTACTTATATCTTGTTCGATGGATGTTTGTTGGTGTTCGTTCTACTTTGAAAAAGCTCGTTTTCAATTGTTTATTTTTAGAACACATCTAACTTGTTATTTTACCAAACAGTTGAATTTATATATAGATACTAAAATCATTTCATTTTTGTTTTAATTAAAATACCATACATATTATCTGATAGTACATACTCAAATATTAGTTTTCAACATTATGTAATTTATGTCTCTGTCATTTTTTTTTTTAAAGTAAAATTTCACACTGGACATAATTAACAATCTATAATTACATATAATTAGATTATTTTTTTATATGTATTTATGATGAAGATATGTAACATTTTGATTGAATAAAAATAAAAAGCTCAATAATAATTTATATGAAAATATAAGAGTGTAATATTAATTAAAAGTAGATGGAAACATGTGGGACCCATAAAAAAGAAGTTTATGGAGTTTATTGTTATTTGAGGTTTATGAGTGGAGGAGTAAGAATGAGGTTTTGGATGATGTGGCGAATTGAAAAGTGTAAAAAGAGGTTTATGGGGTTTTGTTGATAAAGATGCTCTTAGTTATTTGTCACATGTTGTCCGCTCATTAATTTATCTACGAAATGTTGGTTTATTTTACACAAACTATGTCGTGATAAATAAAATTGTCTATAAAAATTGATTGCAACTTATTTGGGAGCATTACAATTTTATTTTATAGCATTATTTTGCAGGTTGGATCGAATTGCGGAAGCTGTAAAACAATGTCAATCAGTGATTTTTCCTTTTATGATTATATTGGGGAATTAAAACAACCCTTTTGCTATATTTATAGTATTATTTTACAGATCAGATTGAACAGAGGAATATGCAAAACAACGTCAGTTAGTGATTTTTTCTTTAATTATTTTGCTATATTTATAGTATTATTTCATAGATTGGATTGAATGGTAGAATATATGCATAGCAACTTCAATTAGTGATTTTTTCTTTTCTTTTATTTTGCACGTTGATAGTTTATTATTCTTTTATTTACTATCACAACATTGCGTGAAAACTGTATTTATTATTCTTTTATTCAATTAGTAATTTACTATCACTGGGGCGGAGTTATGAGATCTTTCTCAAGGACTTTGTTTGGCTTGGGAATTGGGAGCGCGGTAAGTGTTGGTGGAAGTGGATCATAGTAGTGTCGTAGCTATGGTTATGAGGGATGATGGTAATCTTGGGCTTCATGAAACCATTATCCAGGCCATTCGTGAATTACTTGCGCGGGAGTGGAGTGTTCGAGTATCCCACATTTATAAGGAAGGGAATTTCTCGGCAGATAAGTTAACTTCGCTAGCGGCTGGTGTTCCGATAGGGTTTCATCGTCTTATATCCCCGCCGGCGGATCTTGGACATTGGCTTAGTTATGATATAGTAGGGGTGGCTCACCCACGTCATGTGATGGTTTAGCGATCGTTAAGCTTCGACCTCTTTTATTGTACAAAAAGAAAAAGCTTTTAAATGTCAATTTACACCAAGCTTTTAATTTGTTAAAAAAAAACTGCAAATATATGGAATTGTTAATAACATCTATTTTGTACATATATAATTTAAAAAGTACAATAAAAAATATCATTTTTGATAAATTTAGTGTAAAAAGTACGCACACCATTTGAATTAATTATTACTTTGTTAGTTTGTTAGTTATTTATTATTGTTGTATATCCATTATACATAATGTTATAATAAAAATGTATATTATTTTAATTTTTTATTATATAAATATTAATATATTTAAGTATCCGTGTAGTATACGAGTATTGTACCAGTACTTTCATGTCCCATTTGGATACACACTATTATATCCCTCAGAGCATCTGCATCGGCTCGTTCAATTTTGCCTGCCGTTTAAAAGCCCCCCGCGTTAATATGGATGTGGCTCATCCATTAAAAGGGGGGCCCCACTTTCTCGTTCATTTCATTTAACGCCTCCAATGCCTTTTCTCTTGTTTTTTATTTTTTGTTTTGAAATCATATTTTATTATATGTTTAAACGTTCTTCGTTTGGTGTCTTTTTTTATTATTTTTTCTGTTTTGTTTTCAATTAATTTGTTTATTTTTGTTTTGTTTTGTTTTTGGTTAATTATTTAATTATTTGTTTTGTTTTAGTTTTTCAACTAGTATGTACCTCGTGCGATGCACGAGACAGAAATATTAAATGAGTTATTTTCAAATGTTGTATCCGTTTAAGTATATAAAGCAATAGGATTATCATCTATTTTTCATTTCTGTTAATCAACGGTAAGTATAATAAACAATAAGGTTATAATATATTTTGCACCAATTTTAATCAACATTATTTTTAGTCAAAATATTAAAATAATTAATATATTATTTCACTAACACATTTATCTTAATTTAAATTTAATTTTAGTATATATTTTTATTCCTTGATATAAGAGAGAATAACAATTTTACTTATTCTTGTTCACCATATAATACTTAATTATTATTTTATTGTACACTTTATGTCATATAATGTCATTATTATTTATAAAGTTATAGAAGTTGTACGTCTTCTTTTTAATTTTTATTTTATGTAATGAAAAATATATAATGCACGTTGGTATTATTTATTTATGTAATCAATTTAAAATATGTAAATAAATTTAATATTAAATAGTGTATAAATATTTTACAAAATATACACATGTTTTTTTAGAATTTAATTTTGTTTACTAATTAAATAACTTTGATTTAGAAAATCCCAAAAACTTGATCCCCTCTATGATCAAGAATTTTCTAGTTCGCATTATAAAGATTTATGGTTTATTTAGCATACTCAACAATGAAATATATTTTATAAGAATTTAATCCTCCCTATATATAATTCCTGAATGCGCTGAGCCTAAGTGGCAGACTCGCATGCTTCGGAATCCTATGTGTCAAAATTTCATGCTTTGTTATTTGGCTTGGATAGATTTTAATTTAATTCCAATCCAAAACTAATTAGGTTCGTATTACCATAAATATATTGATTTATTTATGATCATTTTAGATGTATTAATAGTATTTTAATATCATTCCTATTGTAACTATTGAATTGTAAATGTATTTTAAAAGTTGATAACTTTTGTATTTCTTATCGGTTTTACATATATGATGTATCAAATTAATCATCTTTTGATGAACTTCGATTTGACATCCATATTGTATATATAAAATAAATAAATTATATTTATCTTTACAATAATAAAAAATATTTATAAAAATTAATTACAAACTGAAATTATTTCTCAATTAATATATTCATGTTTAATGTAGTTATATGTTATAAGTTAGAAAAAAGTATTATAATATAATACATGTAAGTCGCACAAGTAACAAGCGTCATATTAAAATCTATAATATATATATATATAATGTATTTAAATTTTCAACTACTTTTTCTCATTAATTTTAAATTTTAAGAAAAAAATTAACAAGCACCGGTGTAATACAAGGACATTGTACTAGTTATAAAAATAAATCAAAATAAAATAAAAAAAAATATAATCATGGGTGCCAATAATATACAAATAAATTCTAAACAATAGTTAACATGTTTCAATTTAATTTTTCACCATTAGAAAAATTATTTATTGTATCTAATCATTATTTCTTAAATGGTAAATTATATTAATTTGAAGAACGATTTATTTTTTATATTTAACAAAATAAAGCTTAAGAAACAAATATATTGACAAAGATTAATTCACCAACTTGATTTTGTCTGATTACTTGGAAAAAAAATTCTACCTAACCTGTTACGATTTTCCATAAATATTTTTGGATAAAAATTGAATATTTGTGAAAAAAAAAACTAAACTTAAAATATGGTGTAATATTATCTTGACCAAAATATTATCAACATGGATCACATAAATCAATCTTGTAATTTATTATAATAAATATCCATGAAAGTATTACAAATATTAATAACATACTATTTATTTTGACCAAAATATTATGAACATGAATCACGAAAATCAATCTTGTAATATAAGATAATAAATATCAATGAAAATACTACAGATATTAATAAATTTATTTAAGTAATTATTTGATCATATGTTATTTGATCTTATTTGAAAACATGTAAATAGAAGCAATTAATGTATATATTTAAAAAATTTCTAAAAATCGTATGCATTAAATGTTTTCTAAATTTTTGCTACTATTTTTAGTAACTGATAATTCTTTTTATATATAGATTAGTTTTTTTTTTTAAATCTTAATTTATGTTTTTTTAAATCTCATAATATTTAGTGTATTTTAATATTTGAAATTAAATATTCTAATTAAAAAAATACATTTATTTTTATTGAGAATAAAATATAAAAAAATATTGAATGCAGTGGCGGAGCCACCAGTATGGCGAGGCATGGCGGCCGCCATACCTGGCCGCCGGCGAACACCCCCCTACCCCCCCAGTTTATTTTGTATTTTTTGATATTTTTTTGTATTTTCTGATATTTTTTTGTATTTTTTTTGTAGAATTCAGCTTTTTGTATAATGGAAAGAGAAAATGAGGTAGAAGAAGGGTGGTAAAAAGTCAAAAATACCCCCACTTAATGTACTATTGTTCACATTGAAAAACGGCTTGAGTCACACCAAGTCTCCAAGATCTCAGCTTTTGGCCATAACCCATAAACCTAATTCCCAATTGCTCCATCTTTCTCTTGAACTGTTGTCGCCGACGCCCGCCCAACT